GATGAGCCCAGATATGGCAGATTTACCTTTTTGAAGTTTGGGATCTAATAAAACCCATTGTAAGCAATAAATAACTCAAAAATGCCTGGCTTTATGGAAGTGGTTGCTACAATTGGTAGAGTCTCTTGAAAGAAAATATACCTTCATAAACATAGCAGGGTAGGCGAAGACTGCCAGGGAAACAAGATGCTTCTCAGTACTTTATTGACTTCACGTGAAGATCAATTTTGGCCATTTATAACCAGCACACTTCCACATAGGGTGAAATTATCTAGCTCACCCACAGATGGATTTCTATTTAAAAGTCTCATTTGATTGCTTTGGGAAGGATACTCTACAGACCAACCCTATCCTTCAAGGATAGAAAATTAACAACCCAGGTGAAGTTAACTAGAAAAACAAAAAAGAGAGGAATTATATTTGACAATGTCCTCTTACAACCCAGTTCATCTTTGTGGACATTAATGTGAGTTACCTCCAGTATCAATGTTCTATTTTTAACTTAGAATATTCAATCTTTGCTCAAAGTAAGACATATGATTAGTGTTTGGAGGAATCGATTTGCTTGAATTTAAAGAAGAGGAGTGTAAATGTTCTAGAAAAAGGAAAAAAAAATTGAGCTCTTTATAAAACACAAATCTATGGGCTTCTTAAATATTTTCAAAGACCCGCTCCTTTTTAAATTCTTTCCAAACTACACAATCTCTAACAGGGAGCTGTACCCCTCTTTTCACTGAGTTATCTGCAATACAGAAGCCCCTGAGATGTCGTTTGTACCTGTTTATAGGATGGATCTGTTCTGGGTCTGCTATTCTCCAGTTACATGTCACATTATCCTAATTGATATTTCTGTTATCTAAAGCCATTAACTTGCTATATGAGTGAAGCAATCACCTAGGTGACTGCTCTGCCCCATGTCAGCTGATATATGTATGTGTGCACGTGTGTGTGCATAAAGTACACTAGTGCATCTAAAAAGTTCAGATCATTGAATTCTTGTTCTGTAACTCTCAAATTTGTTTCCACTCCCAACACACCTGAGGGATATGAGACACTCCTCTCAATAAAATCAGTTCTTGGAGAGGGACTTGGAAGGCACACATCATTCACTGGATCCTGCCGTTCAAAAAGCCTCCCAGGTAGTTTTAATAATGTAGCCCATACCCCTGGTGGGTGAGGCGACAGCAGAATGAACCCCACCATACACTTGGGGTTGAACATCCCTGGTCTACTAAAGCATTCAGTATCCTATGGACCTAGGCCACATGGCATCTTCTGTTCTCAGGTTGTGTCTAGCTCCAACCCCCTATCCAACTCTCTTCGGAAGTTAAAGAGGCCCGTTTTTTTCTTATTTGCTTCTGAGCTTGGATAAGAAGAGAAACAAAGACAGATGACACCACTTCCCTGTAGATCAGATAAGCAGGGCCACCTGTGTTCCAGCAGAGGCGGCGGCTATCCACTAAGTGCAGCCTCTGCAGGACTAAATGAACCTCCCCAACTGATGTCAGGATCTACTTTACAAAGACAAATCCCATTTCTTTCCACAATTCGTGATCCTGCAGGAAATAAAATCCTCCTCTGACTTAAACACAGACATACTAACATGCAGTTAACTGACAACACACAGATCCCTTGCATCAGGTTTTGATTAGGAGAACACTTAGGAATGCAAGGACTGGAGAGGCTGACACAGGAGGAGCAAGACTGAGGAAAGTGGTAAATGGGACTGCGTGGAAGGTGTGGTCTCCTTCACAATTTAGTTCAGAAGATGCTGCAGGTAAAAAACATGGTCTTCCCAAAGTTATCCAGAAAACGAAAAGAGAACTGAGACATTTAGGAATCACTTCCAAATTCGGTCCAAATATTTTCCATAAAAATTTAAACACATCTCAACCACATTCTTAAAACCCCAATTTATGTGTATTGTTGAGCAGGACAGAGAGTAAGTTCATGAATTAAGACGTTGTTTGTATTCCTTATGATCAAGGTTCATTGCATGCTTTCAATGGAGATGCTCTATCTTCTTCAACTGCATTTTCCAGGAATAAGTAGCAATACATTAATTTCTGGGCATATTTTCTGATTCTGTGAGTCTTTTGCTACCTGAAAGGGCCCAAGCTTGAAAAAACTGTCATAAAACTTATTTTTACTCAAGTCATAGCCTTTGGAAAATTATTATTTATGAAAAGTATTATTTTTTTAAAAGGAACTATATGCCAATCTCCAGTGCATTAACTGCTAATCATTCTTCTGATAACTATTCTAATATTTCATGTCCATCCTAGCATACATGTATAAACAGAAGTCATCCATACATAAAGTGGACAATTTTCCATCCCAATTGTTTCATAATTATTGCAAATGGAGTGCTAGCTGAAAGTTGCATAAAAACCAAAGTAAATTAAAGTAGCATAATAATGATAAGTAGCTATTATCTAATTCACATTCTATGGTTCCAGAATCACCTGTAAGATGACCTAGGCACCTACATTTTCTCACTGATGGACTTTTGAATGATAGATGATTTTCAAGTCCAATAATTTGGTTAATAACAGGATTTGCTTCTAGATGTTAAATGCTCACTCTGGGCCAATGAACTATCATGTTAGTCATGACAAGTACCATAACAGCGCCCTCTCCTGGCGATAAATGACCCACTCCCTGCACTTCAGTCAACCGCGGCAAGAGCTGCTGCCCTTTCGTGTGCTAGCCAGTGGTCTCAAGAGATGGCCTGGGGCACTGGACACTGCCCAGAGGGTCAGTAGAACTCTCTTACCCAGTCAGATAGGGTCTCTCCAGAATAACCCAAGAAATTAAGAGAATTAACCAGTCGGCGAGGGAAGAATAGAGAAGAGAGAAGCCAGATCCCCTCTGCATAAAAACTAAACCCCTGTTGCCTTCAAGTGGCCTAGAGTTTCCTTCAGTAGCCCAAAAAAACCAAAGGACATGACCAGGTCCTGATGGAAGCCTTCATCTGCATTTTCTTATTAAATAAACCCAACAACCTAATACAATCTTATTATTCCCATTTTGCAGACATGGCATTTTGTTGATTCTATGGCAAAAAAGAAAAACGCAAACAAGCTTGGAAAACCTCATATGAGCACCTTATCCACCACACTCCTCAAATCCTTGCCCACTTTTGGCTGGGCGCCAGACTACAGGAGGCAGTCAGGATTCACAGGAATTACAATGGGATTGGCAGGAACCAGAATTGGTTTATAAAAGGAGGGAAACCAAAAAGAGAAGATTCTTATGAATGTTTTCCTCTCCTCTAAAAGTGGTGTTTTTGAACCACAGTTGCTAAGTTAAAAATAGAAAAGAGATGCCTTGGAGCAGGTGAGGAGGGAGTTCAAATCAGAGAGAAGAGTTACAGAAACGTCTGAGCTGGACCTCACCCCAGAGCAGAAAATGCCACATGGCACAGAACTGGGGTGGCTGGGAGGAATCCAAGATGTGGGAGGAAACCTGGGAAAGTCTGGTTCCACATCTTCCCTGTAAGCAAGGAGTCTGCTAACCCCAGAGAAATGGTTAACAACTGCCTAGTTTCCCTTGAAAGTTTCCAGAGATGGAGAACCAGGGCAACTCCGGCTACATGTTTTAATTGTGCCCTTTTCACTGCCAAGAGGCACTTCTTAATGTCCTGCTCAAATGTCTGCAGCACACCCTGAAGCCTGTTTGTGCCTCTTCAGGACTCCTTAGACACGAGAGCCTCTGTTTAGCATCCTCCTTATATGAGAAAATTTCATCAATCTGAAAATAGCCATTAAGTTGCCTCACAGCATTTTCTCTTCTAAACTAGGGAAATCCACACAGAGGCTGCACAGCCACTCAAGGGGATGTTACAAAGACGATTCCAGCACCATGAGTGGGCCAGACTAGATGTGCCCCGAAGATATCTGCCAAGCCAGAAATCCTTTGATTCAATACCTTTCATCTTTGGTATGACATTTCCCATCACTTTGTTCATATTTGTTATAATATCTGTCATCTGTCCAACTTCTCCATATTCTTTTAATATATTTAAATCTAATGTACATAAGAACCACTTTTCACAATATTAAACAAAGGCTCATTAATTCAGATTAAGTTGAGCAATTCATATCCCACTGAGTAAGATACCAGAGTGAGAAGTATTTTCAATTAAACAAATTATGTCTATTACAGAAGACTACATACTGGTTATTAATAAATGAGAAAGTCAATGAAAATGGTGAGTTAACAATAACCTTATTTTTATGGTACTTTATATTTTTCAAAGTGTTTTTACATGTATTATTCCATATTTCCAATTTTATTCAATATATCAATGCAACATATGGGTAATAGATCACCAAATCTAAATCAAAAAGTCTTGATTTATCCTGCTAAATTTGAACTTTTAATTCAATAAGAATTATATATAATTATTTTAAGTCTGCATCAGAGCAGTCTGAATTAATACGATTCTGCTCTATCGTAGTTATAACAAGCCTGACAATTTTATGGTCATCTTATCTCCCAGAGCGTCACTCCCATCTACGCATTAGTAATAAATACTGTTTCTTCGTGAATGAGCTTTTGTCATAACACAGCATCCCACCTTAAAGAAGTTTCACAAAGTAAATTAAATAGCTCAAATACCATAGAAATATTTTCTATGATAAATGTGCTAAGAGTTTATTATTCTCTTTAAAAATGCTTGCTTTGATTTAAAATGAGCCTGATAAGAAGGTTGTCCCAAGATGACAAGGACACAGTATATATTACAGAACTTTTCCCCTTTCTCTTTGGTCAGGGAAAAAAAAAAAAAAAACAGAGTCAAAAATAATCCAGTTAATTGTAAGTAATGGAACTACACCAATACACGTAGAAACTTAGACACAGAATGCCCCATTTGGGGAACCCAAAAGGTTCTATGAGCACCTTCGCCATCTTCACTTTCTTCCCAAACCTGCAGTTGGAGTCATAGCATTTCATTGTCCTTTCGCAATGGTCAGAAAGACAATGTCTTTACCTACCTTAAAAAGTCGTAAAATGTTAGCAACCATGATGGACACGGAGCTTGCTGCAGCACCTATGACACCAGAAATCTTGTCGGGCTTGGTGAAAATGGGCGGATCTCCATTAGCACACTTCACATCCGAAGCGTCTTTCTCTATTAATGCCTGCACGAAAGTTAGAGACTGCTCCAAAGCATAGGTGTCCCTGGAGCAAGTGTCGAGGATGCGGACACCCAGAGTGATGTTGGAAAGGAGATCAGGGTCCTTGTTAATCTGGTCAATTGCATAAAGCATAGCCTCCAGTCTGTGAATCCCCTTTTCCTTCTTCAGCTCCCCACAAGGCACCCCTCTCTCTCCCTTTGCATGGACAGGGAAGAGACCCCCCAAAATAATGTCCCCATCCACCCGTATGGAATGGGCATACTCTTGGCTGTGAGTTCTTTGCATCATTGTGAGGATCCAGTAGAACTTGGCGGTCAAGAGGAAGAAACAAGGGCAAGAGGCTGATCGTTTTCCCTCGCATACCATTTTCTCCACAGGTGATACTGCAATCCAAGACCCAAAGTTTATTCTTGCCACAGAAGAAGGTGGACCACCTGAGGCTGCACCTTCTGGAGGCTACCATCAGGGCCCATGGGGAAAAGGCTCTGTGGGCATTTTCTTGATTTGAATGTCACAGTGAATTCCCATCAGACCCCTAAGGTTCAATTTTATTTCCTTATAAGATCAACTTGCCTGGAATGGTGCAAAAATTAGAACATCTGAGGTTCTGATGTTGGGATGAGGTCAACAATTCATGTCCTTGAAATCAGCCTTGTAGCAGAATTATTCCTGGGAAGAGGGGGGAAAAAGGGGGTTCAGTTCAGTGAGTCTAGATGTTTCACATTTTTCAGTCCTGTTTATGCCAGCCTCTTAAAATAAATCCCCTATTCAGTAAGAAACTAATTCTTTTTGTCCCCCTGTGATTCTGAACACCTGGCTGCACTGCATCTAAACAGGGAGATTGATGACACTTTTGGAGCAAGGGAAACACAACAGTCAGTATCAGAAACTAGGTTGAGTCTCCCAAACCAGAAAGCATTTTTACTTATCATTTTATTTCAATAAACCTTATTTCCATGAAGGTAAAAATCCGGCAATGGGTGGCACCATTTCTTTTCAAATCTGTTTTTATTTTTTGCAGCTATCTGAATTTAGCATTCAAAGTTTGTCGACAAAATCATAACAAAATGTTATTTTCTGTGATGTATTCAACAAGCCAGTCATCTGTTAATGACTTTTTTTTTCTTGGTGCCTCAAATTACCCAGTAGGAAAATGTGATTATTCAATTACAAAAAAGCAAAAGAGATAAAGAAATCCACCCAAAGAGCTAAAAAATGTGTAAGTTTTGTAGCTTATGTAAAATATTAACAGAGAAAGTCAGCTATTTCATATAAATTATCTTATTCTTCTCTGGTAAGAAAACAAAGACTTGAAAATGAAACACCCAGGGAAGGTGACCTGTGAAGATTTTCCTATTACCATTGTCAGGGTGGGAGCAGTGGGTATACTGACAGCTCTGAGAGAAACATGCCTTGATCCCAGAATCACTAGGAGCAAATCAGAGTTGGTGATCAATTGAAGAGCTGCTTAATTTTGTCTGACTCAGTGGGGAAAACAGTTATTTCATCAAGACTAGAAATAACTTGGGGTGAAAAAGTCTACAGGCAAATCTATAGAAAAAGTTTTTTCCCTACAGCCTTCTCCCTTAATTCCATAAGGTTTTTTTCAAATGACTTTTGTTTGTTTTTTATTATTATTTTTTAATGGTACTTAGGTTCTGGGGTACATGTGCAGATCATGCAGGATTGCTGCATAGGTACATACATGGCAATGTGGTTTGCTGCCTCCATCCCCTCGTCACCTATATCTGGCATTTCTCCCCATGTTATCCCTCCCCAACCTCCCCACCCCCATCCTTCTCTTGCCCCAGCCAATAGACCCCAGTGTGTGATTCTCCCCTCCCTGTGTCCATGTGTTCTCATTGTTCAACACCCACCTATGAGTGAGAACAATTATTATTGTCAAACGACTTTTGAAGAGATGTGACTGAAAATGAGAACTGACTTAAGACAGGGAATCTGAGATTTGTAATGCACATCTCATTAAGAGAATAAACAGCACCAATTTACTTTGGCAGGATGGTTAATCTAATGCTCATTTCTAACCTATTTATATATGAGTTTGAAATCTGAAATTTGGACAGTTCTCCTGTACCCTAGCCAACCAACATCTGCTTGTATTTTCCATTCACTTGTTCAAGTTCCAGTTCATAAAATTTTCTTTTCATCCTTCTTGTCCCAAAGGGAAAGATGGTGCTTCCCTGGGGAATAACTAAGCATATGCCCAAATGCCTTCAAAGAAAGCTGCACTTTTTGCACTTTCAAATTAAAAAAGAGGGGCTCGTAGCAACCCACTGCCCCATATTTCTGAGCAACCACCTGGCAGCCTGGCCAGCCAATGGCCCACTCGGCTGAAACAGTTCTGTGCAGCCTAAGACATGTACTCCCTGCCTTCCAGCACACATTAAGCCTTAGATTTCCGCTGTGCTTCCCCCAAAATACTCAGTCCTTTCTGATTGTTCTCACCACTTAATTGTTAGTCCCTCACACTCCATTCTCCTAGCAGCTGCTTTTCCCTCAGAAAATCTGTAAATAAATAACAGCCTGACCTCAGGCATTCCACAAAAGGAAACACTCAGAAAGTCAACCTGACTTTCTAGATGAAACCGTTTAAATGATAGGCCATAAATTACACCAGCCACCCATTAAGAGAAGTTCAGATTGTGTTTCACAGTTTCACAAGGAAAATCAGTCACATGATAGTAAAACCTCATTAACTCCGATCACTAGTTGAGAATTTGAGACCAATTCCACGTGGCTGGGCTGACCCTTGTTCTGACAGAGCACAGACTAAATGGATAAATAAGGTGAAGGAGAAATGTCTGTTTAGGGACAGTGGAAGGGGCCTGTTGTTCTCCAAAGGCCCGCCTTTCCTCTTTACACCAAGCCATCTCCGAAGTACTTAAAACACTTAAGAGAATAAATGGTTTTCAATTATAGACAACATACGAACAGCCCATCTGTTCATCACAGTGCATCCTTACCTATGCATGTGACATCAACCTAGTTCCACTTGCTATACAGTCCAGAAAGTAATAAAATTGAGTCACTTTTAAAATTATTGGTATTTGCAATATTGTTTACTCTCTTTGGTATCTTATAGCTTTGTTTAGAGCTTTAATGTTTTTAAAAAAAGGTTGGGGGATGAATAGCAATGAGGCAGGAATCCGTTTTGTTTAGCAGTTGGACGCACTGAAATGGAAAAGGAGAGGTTCGGTTTTCGTTTCATTTCAGTTTCACTTACTGGACAGCTCACGTGAATTTTTGCTGGAGTTTCCATCTCTGGAACATAGAATTAATTGCATGTAAGCTTGCTTTTTTTTGTCTGTAAAGGGGTGATAGAACGTGCCACATAGCATGCATAGAAAGCATAGTACCTGACTCAGTGAACAGGAGTTATTGTTGCTAACTTAGTCTGTAATTCATTTTGTACTAGAACAGAGCGACTCTTTCTGTATTTGCCCAGTTGGTGAGCTTTTACTGAATTTCATTTGTCACTTTAAAAAATAAAAGCAGAGCTACTTATAAAATATTTAAATCTTGCAGTTATTTTAAAATCTGATACACTGTCATAAAAATTACAGACTCCATTGCCAGAAGGTTTAGTTTCCCCTTTTAAAAAAAATCTAAGGAAAAATACATTTGAAAGTTTGTGAGTAACTACATCAATTAGGTTTCGTTGTATAATCTTAAATTACTTATCTTACTCTTATACAATTCTTGTGAGCTTTAATCCAAACTTATCCTAGTTTGAGTCAATGAGTTTTAAAGAAATCATAATCTTTCAGAGCTATATATGCAAATACCTCAACTTTGTGTCCTATGCTTGATTTAAAGTATAAACAGCTCCTCTCTCAAACCGACCTTCCTCTGGGATGTGATGGACTTTTTCAAGGAGGTGTGAGGTCTGGACTCCTGAAACCAATCTCAGAGGGCGACAAATCGTCTCAGCACTATGTCTGGGCCCACAGGGAGGGGCCATGTAATCCTAAGGGGAGGCTTAACCATGAACCCTCACAGCCCTTCCTGTGCACTCCCCTGCCAGCCCACCCTCACTTACAGGGCATATCATTCACCACTGACCCCTCTATGGGCAGGTCCTGTGGCCTGAGGTTCCTGGAAGCAGGCACTCCACCTGGAACCTGAGCCTGTGGCTCCCTAAATATGCTCTGTTTCCTAAAAGGCCAGAAGGAAACCTCCTCACTAGCAAGAGCCCTGAATTCTGCTTTATTTTCTACGCATCTTCTCTGTACCAGTGTCAAGTACCTAACATAGCATCTCCGTATATTTTCATATACCAGGCATTAGTTCTTGTATAAATGAGAAAAGAAGGCTCAAAAGGATTGAAATGTGGCCCCGACCCCTAAGCTGGTGAGCTGTTGAGTGGCAGTGCCACCAAAGTCATCTGTCCCAAAAGATGGGTCCTGTCCTTGGGGAAAGCCCCCAGTGCTGTCTGCAGGGACTATCTGTGGCAGCACAAGAGAAGGGAAGGGGCCTGACCCTCCACTGCAATCTTTCAGAAAGGTGTGCATCTTTGATGCCTAAGCTCTGGAAGAACAATAAAGTGCTATTTAGGAAGGGACAATCTGAGGGCATTTCCAGGGAGGTGATTTCTGAAGCTCTCAAAGGGCTGAGAAGATCCACTGCAGTTTGTCCAAACACTTCTGCTCCAAATTAGGTCTCCTGGTCAGGTTGATGCCAATGAGAACACACCCACCAACACATACAGGGTCTCTCAGGGTCTGCTGTCACATCTTCCTCAGGTATTTAGCAGGTATGATTAACATACAATAGGGTAAAATCCTTGCTGAGGAATACCATTAGCCAAGAATTGTACTTTTTTCTCATAAAAAGGCCAAAGCAACATTCCTATGCTGCATTCCATTCAGCTCTTTAACAAAAAGGTTAGGCTGAATGTTATCATCAATTCATATGACTGCCCACACCTGCAGCACTTCTGGTTGTTTTTGAAAATGTGTCATATTTCTGTGTCATCTCCCATGCTGCAATATGTGTGCATGTCTGTGGATTCTTGGTTTCTTGGTGGGGCAGAGTGAGGATGGGGCAGACAGAGCTCTCCCCTGGCAACAGAGGCCTGGAATCAGATCTTTGACAGTCACTGGCTGGTGACACTGAACATGTCCCCTCACCTCTATGTGCTTCCATTTCCTCACCTGTGAAATGAGTGAAATGGGCCACATGATCTCTAAGGTGTCTTCCTGCTTCCTAGTCTAAGATTCTATTATTTAATAATAAGAGAATATGAGATTATGCTCAAACATCAGAGCAAGGCTTTGCCAACTGAATACAATAACTGATTTTGTTTGCAAGTTGAGTGACTTCTTTTCAGCAGTGAGAGGATTGTGAAAGCTCTTCTACACAAGCCAGTCTCATATTAAAAGAATCTGATGCAGGAGAAGCTCGACTTACTCAACAGAAATGAGAAATTAGAAAGTGATAATTTGCATTACAAAAGAATTCACCCCAGGTTTCCTTTAAATAGCGAAATCGCAGGCATTTAAAAAACAATCTGATTTAGTAGAATTCAATTTGTCCCCTTATTTTTCCAATAATACAGCTATTACACAAACAGACCATATTTAAAGTAATGAGAAGCTACTTTTTATAGTATGTATCAGATAAGAAGAGAGAAAGCAGGTGACACCAACACTTACTGAATGCCTGCAGTGTCTGGAGGTGCAGACACATTATTTCTCTCTCAAATACAACTATAAGGTTGATATCACAGCCTTCATTCAGGATCAAAGGAACCTGAAAACAGAAACATTATGTGACTGTATCTAAAGTCTCAGATCAGGATTCAAATGCAGGACTGCCATTACCTTCTTTCCCTTACTCCAAGCCCCTGGGGGCAGGAGGCCATGCCCTGATTTGATCATATGGACCATGAGTGGGATGTTCTAGAGTCCTAGGAGACACTGATTCTAGTCTTACTTCCCCCAGTACTCACTGTGTAACCCTAGGAAAGTCACTTAACCAGATCTCAGTTTACTTGTTTCTAAAATGGGGAATGATTTCCCCCCACCTCCTAGTTTGTGTAATCAAACAATATAACGTGTATCAATGTACTTTATAAACTTCGAAGTGCTGTAAGAAGACACAGGGATACTATTAGTTTAACCATCAATCCTAGAACTAAAATATGTTACTAGTGTATTGTACTTAGAAGATCTAAGAAAACCATTTCCTCATCACACTTAGGGTCAGTCAGACCTTAACAAGCCTCACAGATTCAAAAAAATCAACTCTGGCAAGCCTATATGAAGAGCTTGAAGGGAAACTGGAAAGGATGCAAGAAGTCAACGGAAGTACCATGTCTGACCCGGAGAACTAAAGTTCATGGACACTGAGCATCTAAAGGGTTATTCTGAAGAAAGTGGTGGCAAGATAATCTCCTGTTGTGAAAACAGGACAACCTGAAACCTTCCAAAGTTATAGGCAGAATATGCTGCTTCTACCGCTGGGTCATGACCCCTGGAAAAGTCAGCCAATAAATAGCCAGCAGTTTTCTAGCTTTAGACATAATCCTGCCTGGAAAAGTATGAAATTGGCAACACATGTGCCCAATGATCGATCTCCACATACTCCTCTGGGGCCTCTCCTCTATCTTCCCACTTCTGCTCACCTCCTGCTTTGCCCTGGCCTCCCCAGAGCTAGGTGTCTTCCTTCCCTCAGTGCCCTTGTTCTTTCATTACCTTGGCCCTCCCCAGGGAGTGAATGGATTCATTAGTAGGTATCAAAGCCTGAAGATGCTCAGCTGTCGTCCCCAAATGGAATATCTGCATTCTCAAAATGATTCCTAGGAGAGCCATAATTCCTTTACAAAAGAAATATCACCATTAATAGTGGTTAAGGCTAGCGATGCAACAAGCCAGAGCATGGAGCAAGGAGTCAGGATCCTCTCAATAGCACCTCTCAAATCATTCCAACAGCAATGCCCACCACTCAAAGAGGGTGCCCTGGGATGAGACATTATGCTCAGGGTCCCTCCCAATGAGTGGGTGAGTTTGCCACAATTTATCAAAGTACCAAGTAGAAATGAAAAAGAAAAAACCATCTTAACTGTTCTTACGATAATGTAAATACTCCTCACCAAAATAAATAAATAAAAGAAAAAATAAGACAGAGAGAAAGCCCAAATTGAAATTCCAATTCCTAGCAGAAAAAAAAAACCCTCTCTTGAAATGGAAACAATAAGATCCTCTTCTGGAACAACATGAAGTGACCATCCCTAGTGAATAAACCACATGTGTAAGCCTGGGGTAGCCCAGAGTCTATCAAGAAAACAGCAAGTTTCCTGAAACTCCGCAAGTCAGCCAACTTGCCAGGCATAGAGATGTAGCCAGGTCTTTGCTGTGGGTCCAGGACGAGATAAATTCAAGCAGCATCTTCTAAGACACCGGGACAGAGCAACTCCACTCCCCCAACTAAAGCAAGGTCATCTTTATGATGGGCATTCTAACTACCTGAGGAAGGTGGTGGGAAGGAAACTTGGAAGGAAAAAAACATGTATGTAGTGTGCTATGTGTCATGCCCTGAAGACAATGGAACATTCGTACACAAAGGTTGCCACGCAATTGCCAATGTGAATGTCAGTGGGTTATTTGCTGTATAAATACCAATTAAACAAGCCTCGAAGCAGCTTCAACCTGCTCAGCCAACTTTGAAAAGAGCATATCTCTCCAGACCACTAACTTTCTCCTGCACTCATTGGAGCTCAGCTCTTCCTTTTCTCTATTCCTTTTGGATGTAGATGCTCTTAGAATTATTCAAGCAGCTATAACTTTCCAAGGATGCATAATAGGGCAGAACTAGCTAGCACAATCCAAACAGAACAAATTGAGCCTACATAACAGTATAGAGAGCCGTGTTCTCAGCATCTTCTTCTTTATTCCGGGTCAATTGTCTCCTACAAAGCCTCCTGTCATCTATTTCTCCCCACATTCTTTATTCTAAAGCAAGAATTCCCTGTCTTAGACACAGTACAACCTGTAGTTGACTCTAAAATGGGAAATTACATTTTTAAAAACCTTGGTTCGTTTTCCCTGATGGAGAAAGCTTTTCTTTTCCAAATTATCAAGCCACATATTTTCAAGAACCAGAGAATGAATTGCACACAGCTGATACCTGCCTCCTACAGAGATCTTTCATGGTATTATTCAGAAGCAAGTGACCAAGGTAAACTAAAGTGGTTTCTGTAGCCATTTGCAATTATTGACAAACAATTTCATAACGGAAAATGGAAATTACAGGCAAGTGCAATAAACTGTTTATCCAAGATCTACCTGCTGGTGGCTCTTTTTCTCTATTTTTCTTTCAAGCAAAATACAAGCTATCATAGGAATGCATTTCTCCCGTTCATGATTTTTCTTGTAAGTATCTCCACCACCAGCCTTGTTTTCCAGTCTGTCAGTTGGCAGGATTTGTATTCAATCGCGGTAGTAACCCAGACCCTAGTGCATTCTTGGGTGTTCCAGAGACTCCCGCACCTTCAGGTTTGTGGGAAAGGATCGTCCCCCAAACCGCAAAGAAGGCATTCCCTCCCGGAGCGGGACTGCTTAGGGGACTTAAAGGTATGGGTTAATGCAACCCGAGAGGGGGTCTGTTTTCACCCCCGCTATCCTGGGTGAGCAGACACCCTTTGACCCCAGGCTTCACAATCTGGGCTACAGGGGAAGTAATTCCCCAAGGAACCGCGGGGGTGCCGTTTTCGCAACTGGATGACTCTCCTGTCCCTCCGCATTTCATTTGCACCAAAGGAGCGCGTGTCAGATAGAGGGAATTTTTTTGTTTTATTTTATTTTTTTCTTTTTTTTTGGTTATTCTGTTATCTTTTCACCAACTGTAGGAAGCTCAAGGAATCTCCGAGCTTTCCGCCTGGGCGGATGGGCTCGCGCTTGGCGTGGCCGAGCGGTCCATCTCTACCTCTCTGTCTCTAGCTCTACCGTAACAGCGGCCACTCAGCCCGCCCGGGTCCCCTGTTCCCAGCCGCACGTTCCTTCTTCTTCTCAGTTCTTTAGGCTGTTGAAGCCGCGCTCTGGGTAGATGAGAGACTAGGGCCGTGAGGGGAGCGCCAGCTGATCTCGCCTTTCCCGCGCCCCAGGGCATTCCGGCGCCGCCCGGGTGCCCCCGCGCGCTGGGGATGCAGCTTCTGCCCCCGCCGTATCTGGCTGCCCGAGTGCCCACACCCCGTGCGGAGCCGCCCGAAACTGGGGCCGCGACGGCCGCGGGAGCTTACCAAGGAGCTGTCGGGGCGCGTTTGCCTTTGCTTTTTAAACAAGATCCCCGAGATCTTTTCTCCATCCCCCAACACCCAACGGGACACAGAACTCAGGCGTTTCCCGAAAGCCACAAAAGCGGGGCACGGAAATCCCAAGCTCGCCGGGCTAACTCGGAGAACGCAAACTCGAGGCAGAGCGAGCGCCATGCGGGGATGAGCTCTGTCGAGGACCCGAAGCGCCCGGCTTCCCCAGCGACCCTCAGCCTCCAGAGATCCTGGTTAGACATCCATCCAGCCCACGCTCAGAAGGCGGGGGTTACCCCGACTCATCGCGGAAGCCGCTAACTTCGGAAATCCCTCCCGTTAGGTTCGCGCAACGAAGATACCTCGTCATCTCGGCGGGGCAAGTCCGGATTCCGCCAGGGCAGGTCCGGGAGGTCACCCGGGGCAAGCGATCCGAGGCAGAGCCCTTTAAAATTCTGCCGCCGCACGCCCCGTCAGAGCGCCGAGCGCGCCTGCTCCCTTCTCGTCACCCTTCAGTCTCCCATTCGCCGACTAAACTTTTGGGGGATCACATCTCCAAGCCTTGGGAGTTCCGGGTGAAGCCTCCCTCTTTTCTGAACCTCTTTACTGTAATGATCACGGGGAGACAAGAGGGGTGGCTGCCTTGTTCTTTGCAACGTAAAATCAACAGACACCCAATCAAGCTCCAATGCCCGGCCAGCCCCTCGCCCCCCGGTGCCCACTCTCCCTCTCCCCCCATTCCCGTCACCTCCGCCCGCCAGTTCTCTCAGACTCCGGGCGTGCAGGGCCAGCGACTTGTGCTCAGGAGAAGCAAATCACTAGTGTGATGTGAGAAGCAACGGTGCACCTGGCTGTCCGCTGAACGGTTTTAGGGAAGAAAACGGAAAGGGGAATAAAACAGGGGGATTCTCCTTTTCCAACAAGCAGGGCGTTTCGGGGGAGTTTGGGGGCAGTGGTTCGGCACTTGCTTTGCTCAGATCCGCTCTCTACTTACGGGCAGCGAGTCTTACCCTGATCCCCGCAGAGGGCGCGGTGAGGAAGCCCGCGGGGGGCCCGCAGCTCCATGTCAGCGCCTCCGCCGCCGCCGTCGCCGGGCGAGGCGAGCACCGCGGCCGCACTTGTGGCTGTTCTCGAGGCTGAGGGGGCTGAGCTGGCCAAGCCGGCGCCAAGTCTCTTCCATGTGAATAACAAATACTCCCACCGGCGGCCGCGATTGGTCTGCGCCCGGCGCCTCCAGATCCTCCGCCCGCGGCCATTCACCCGGCGCGGCGCGGGGAGCCGCGGCCGGGATCGCGCCCGGGATCGCCAATCCCTTCGCGCCAACCAGTCAGCTCGGGAAGCCGGAGGAGGAACCCTCGAGGGGCGGGAGCCTCTGGATTTCGGTGCCACCCCGCGGCCCTGGCGCGGGCAGGGAGGGGGGACCCTCGGCCCGCGGATCCCCCTCCGCGCTAAAGCCCGAAGCGACGAGGAGACCAGAAATGTCAATAGTTCTGATTTTTAAAAATCACCCCCACCTTCCCCGCCCCCAAGAAAAAAGGGAGGACCCAACGGCAGTGTAGGATGGTGGGAGGCGGGGAAGAAGCGGGAGCCGTAGAATGAGGAATATGGCTGTGGAGGAGCCCAGCGACTCCGGCTGCCTGGCGAGCCCGGGACCGGCGCGGGGAGGCGCGACACCCGCCCGAGCACGGCTGGCCGCACCCGCGAGCCCAGGTCCCCTGTGAACACAGCTCCAGAAAGCGTCACCGAGAACAACACACGGTGGATGACAAGTGTCGCGCCACATGCTGCTTTCTTTTCGGGGACGCTTTAAGTAGAGCCCGTAAGCTGCGCGGTTCCCCTGCAAAGTTTGCCTCGCGCCGCGCGGCGGTTCCGCCATTTGTCCCGCCCAGCGGCTCAGGAGATTGTCTCCCCGCTTCCTGGCCCCGAGGGTCTGGGGGACGCACGCCACAGGGCCCTCAAGGCTCGAGGTACCACACAGCGCGGTCCCGCTGCGGGCACTGCGAAAGAGGGGGCGTGGGTGGCTGCCGGGACGGTCGTTTCACTGAGATGATTCAAGGAGCCGCAGACGCGGGGCAGGAAACTCCGGGGGAACCGCGCTCGGGTTCCGCAGGGAAACCTCGGGATTCCCTCCGCATGCTGCCTGTGGAAACCTGCCGGGCCCGACGTACCCAGCCCAGCGCCCTCCCCGCTAGTTACTACCCAGGGCCCCCGACCCCGCACCCACCGGAATGAGAGAAAGGGGCCCCTCGCCGCCCAGCGCCCGGGAAGCTGCCCCGGTCGGGCCTTGTGTTGGTGAGAAAGTTCCATCTAGAGGCGGCCGCGCGCAACTGCAGGCGGCGCCCCAGGCCCGGGCTAGCCAGGGAGAGCGAGGCGCGTGCGGGAGAGCGGGCAGCCCAGGAGATAAGGAGGATGGAGAAGGACAAGGACAAGAGAGACCCCGAAAAGGCAGGCTCTAGTCCTTTCAGCGTCTCTATAATGAATTTTATCTTCCTAAGCATCGTGAACCTAAAAACATCACGTGAGGAATCTTGCATTAATTCCTGTGTGTGTGGTGTGTGTGTGTGCGCGCGCGCGTATACAAATATATATGTGTATATATATATATATATATATATATATATATATATATATATATATATCGCTTATTCTATTGAGGTTATTTTAATTGTCACATGAACTCTGTGAAATGATCAAAATCATTAAGCCCACTCTACAGATGAAGGAAGAAACCGAGGCTTAGAGACACGGCTGGAAAGTATTAAAGCCAGAAATCACAGCTGCCTGGCTTCAAAACCCCATAGCACTTCCTCCCTGGTTGTGATGGCTTTTCCCCAGGTTGGATTTAATGTGCACACTTTCGATTGAGGAGAGAGCCGAATCCTAATTTCAAAACATGACCCTTGCCCTTTATCACTTAGAAAAATCTACAGGTTTCAGCCCAGGGCACCTCTTCCCCTTTTGTTCCCTTCCCTCTCCCATCTCCCCATGAAAGGCTCTTTGATTGTAGAATCATTATTTTACAGCCACAACAAAAGAGGGAGGGAGGTGGATCTGGAGAGAGAAAATGGGCTGGGTCCTCTAGCTGAAAACCTTTCTGCATAGGGAACCTCAATTCCCTGTGAATGTCTGGTGCAGCCCTGAAGAGGGTGATCAGTGGCCAGTACCACTTGGGACAAGGAAGGTGGAAAGAGAGAAAAGCTCCTAATTTATGCAGAGCAGGGACTGGGTGGGCTTTTTGGTTGCATGTCTGTGTGTAAGAAGGTTTAACGATTTTCTTTTCTTAGGGACTGGAAGAGCTTCCTCCTCCCACGTAAGTGTAAAGTAAGTGCAGCAGCCTGATAAGTATAGCAGGAAGCCCACTCCACCCCAAACTCCAGACCCAAGACTCCGGCCTGAGAAATGTTATCGCAGATAACATAGAAGTATGAATAAGTCCGTTAGACCCTTTGCTACGTGTGTATTAATACATTTGAGGGGGAAAGAGACACGACAGAGGGGAAAGGCAGAGGAGGTCCTCAAAAATGAGGTCTCCACAGCTACTGACCACACATGGTCTTCAAGGTCGGCTAGAGGCCAGCTATGGGGCCAGTAGGGTGGTTTCCTGGCATGAGCCAAGACGGCAGCAACCTGGTGCTCTAGTGGGCCCGTTTTAATAATAAGGACAGTAAGGCTGGCTTTGGAGGCCTGACAAGCCTCAGTGAGCCGCCTGGGGAAGAAATGCCTAATGAGCTGCTTTTCTCCTTTCTCTATTGATCATTACCTGCAGAGAACATGTCTTACAGGCACATCGCTGTCCTTTTTGGTGCAGCCTTCTGCAAGAAAATTAGACTTGATCTCTCCTAAGGAAAGTGCAAGTCCGATGCTTCATTTTGCATCATCTTTAACTCTTGATACTCAAAATAGAGCCATCACTCAAATCCTACATGGAATCTGGTCAGTAAGGGATAGAGGCCATCTATCTATTCTTCAGTGTTTCCAATGGCTTTATGTAGTAGCCCCTGAGCAAGTGACATAGGCTCATGTACAGGTTATCATTCGCCCAGACTGAGAGCAACATTGGGACACAGGAAGAAAAACTGTCTCCAGGAGGGATTAGTCCCTATCAGTAACAGTCACAGGAAAAAGTCATCAGCTGTTACAGCCTCTATTCCTGAGACCCAAACACCATGACGCTGCTTGTTCTTTGCTGCAGTCTGAGTGAGGGGAGAGTGTCTGAAACCCAGGCCATCATCCACCTTGCCTACCCTTGAGCTACCACCTTCTACAATATACAGCTGTCTTTGGAAAGTGTCTGACCTCATCCTCCATCCCACCCCAAATGTTTATTCAACCAAATATATTTCCTAGTAGTTAATCCTCCAAGAAGATTTGCCTATAATCTTCTCATTTTCAGTTGATTTAAAATGTGAGAAACTGCCCATGTGTTAGAAAATGCAAAAAACAATGCCATATGTTTGGGGTCCATTTAACTCAAGCTGTGATATATATTCCACACATGGAGATTTATGCCACAATTCCTGCTTTGGGGTAATCATTAAGGCTGGGAACCTTTGCAGGCTACTCACCCAGGAGAAACATCGACAGCCATATGCTCCCACATGGAATAAAGCTGACAGGGGAAAGTGGGAATGGGATTTGTTTCTTTTGGAAACGAAGACAATATTTTTCTTGCTAGACCATCTGCACGTGGCAGTGAGTGTTCCATGTGGGTTTTGCTCAGTTTATTAGACGCTGGCTGCTAGAAGCAAGATCAGACATGTTAGACTGACAGAGCCAATGAGTTCATGACAGCAATGTCATGAATGAGTGTGTTCTGCACTTCCACAGTCAACTCACACCTGCATACAGGAGTCATGACAAAGATTCTTTAAGAATTTCTGACATACTGTATATGTGCATCTCTACTGGCTTCATTTAGTTTCTCCCAGAAGCACAACCTGAAACAAGGATTCAAGGGCAGATAGTTTAAGAGATGAAGGGAATCCCAATAGTCATGTGGGGAAGTTAGCAAATAAAGGGTACATTATCAAGCTAGGTACCACTGTGGGCACCTGGTACCTAATCCCAGTGGGGAACCCTGGAAGTCAGTGTAGAACACACAGCAGAGAGTGTGTCCAACTGAGGGAGGAGGGAGCTGGGATATCTATACACCGACACTTAATCAGGTGTTAGTGAAGAACTGCTCCTGGATGATGTTTACTCTCTAGCAATTCTAGCCTATCACATGGATAGCAAAGCAGCCTCCAGAGGTCATTTGAAGACCTCTGGGGGAAAAAATGCAGGTGCTGGCAGTTAGTAGGCAGGTGGTGTGTAATCAAGGGTCAAGGACAAGACAATATGGGTAGGTCACAGTTTGCATCTGCAACACCTGCTTAGGCAAATCTCATAAAACATATACAAATCAAGGCAATGCCTCTCTGTGTGTGTTGCAAGGACCACCTACCTCAAAATCACTGGGCTGCTGATGGTAAGCACAGATTTCTGGGCCCTATCTCAGGCCTGTTTGAATCAGACTTACTGGGATGGGGCCCGGGAAACTGCATGTTTTGCAAACATTCCAGGAAATGACGTTCACTCAAATTTAAAATGTACTACATTCAGAAAATCATGCTCCTCATAGGCAGCCAGCAGGCAGCACATTTAAATATGTGTATACGAAGT